CGACTCAGTTGAGTTATTCGAAGTATTAGTCTTCTTAATTGCCTCTACAAGTCATCCAATCAAAAATTGTAAGTCACTCAAAATATCACATTTGCTTATATTTATGTCAAGAATATATGCTGAAAAAATTGGTGTCTTAAAGGTAAATTTGACTACTAACTAGTTCTCCCACGTGGAATTGCTCCAGAAACCAAAACAGAACCGAGACAAATTAAAGGCAAAAACAAAACAAACTATAAAAGATAGTAAATGGTGCCTGCAAAGAGAATAAAAACCAGCCTAAGCAAACGGCTTCTTCTTCTCTGTCAATGAGAAAATCGTATAAGAGATCCTGTAGTGTTGACTTGTAAGGTTATTTGATACATGACTTAAGTCCTACCTGTAATGCATCTTCATAAATTTTTTCACTCCTGTAGTCACCGATGGACGACGCCAATTTCTTTACTTTAAGAAGGAACCTCTTCATTTCAGGATTCTTCATTGTAGCATGCTCCACTTCCCATAATTCATCATAAAAACTCAACGCTTCTTGTCCATACTGTTTGTATAAATTTACTTTTCTAAGCTCTTTGCTCAACTGGAGAATTCCATCGATTGTCTTCTCCTTTTCAACGCCGATTATCTTGGTCATTTCTTTGGTTTTTCCTTCATCCCACCGCCTTTGCCAAACAGCCAACAATGTCTCACGGAATTCTATTATCATTCGCTCTTGCCCTGTCTCTTTGTAGAGTTGTTCCACTTTCGATTTTAGTGAAGTTTTATCTGACCCATCACCCTCATTACCACGGAAACCTTTTTTGACCAGACACATTTTGTACAAAGCCACCTTGTCCTTTTGGTGTTTTGCAAGCTTCTCACGTTCGTGAAGTTCAGAACAAAGTCCTATTACCTCATTCAAGAGCCTCTCTCGTCCATTCAGCAGATCAATGAGAGCATCATTATCAGTTTCCAAATCAAACTTCTCTTGAAACTCTTTCTCGTTTGCACTGAACATTCCCTCGTAGAACCAAAGTTGATCCTTACCCACCGCATGTTTGTCTTTCTTATCAATAGCATACTCCTTTAGCGCATCAATGATTTCTTTGTTATACTCATTGAAGGTGAACAATGCAGATACTTTCTGTTCTCCCCAGAATCGCTGACAAAACCTGAAGGCATCTTTCCTAAATCTTTCCCATCCTCGTTTGTCTTTCAGGCGATAACTCATAGCGTTTACACCTTCAATAATCTTTCGCCACACTTCACTGTGGTTTCCTGCTCCGAGTGACTTTTCCATCTTCCATGCTTCAAGGAAAAGCTTCAACGCCTCATCCGGGTGTTCAAGATTAACTTCAAGAACTGCACGCTGAAAAATACTACGCACTGTCAGAGGATGATTTTTTAGAATATCCATCCTTATTTTGAGAGCCCTCTCCGCAGGTTTGACTGCTTCTGAATATTTTCTTTTGAAACATAAGCACATTTGCAAGATTTCTACAGAAGTGTGCTTCATCCAAACAACCTAGGAGATTGAGATCTTCCAGCAGTCTCAGTGCATCTTTGTAACATTCAACCGCCTTTTCATAATCTTTCAGGCCATCATGATCATACGCTGCTCCAATCTGATGCTTGTACATTGGCATGTCAAAGTGGTTATTAGAGTCTGCTAATTTCTCTTGCATGTTGTAGGCTTTTTCAAAGAACTCAAGCGCTTTTATGGGCTGTTTCAGACTGAGATGGCAGTTTCCGATAGCATTGTAGCACCTTGCAAGATCAGTATGTTCCTTTAGTAGAGGCTCAGAGAGAGTCAAAGACAATT